ATAAAAAGAGACAAACACCACCTGGGAGATTATGGATGAATTACACAGAACGATGAGGAGTTAGTAGCAAGTGGACCGACCTATTTTTTTGCCCCCTCGGGATAAAGTCATAATACATTTAGTATATAACAAAGTAACAATTTATTTGAACCGACTGTATAACCCCAATATCGCATTTAAGAGGGGGGAAAAAAGCGAAGAGCGTAAGAAAGTACCATTCTACAATAAGAATTTGGCAGGATTTATATTCAATTTGTACTTTACCACTACATTTCAACTACTCTATATTCAGGTTCAACCTTGAGCTCCTGAAAGAAGGTGTGAAGCGCACGAATACATTGTATGGAGGGAAAGACCTTAAAGTGACGAGGGTGGTGTTTCCCAATGGTTCTATCGACCCATGGCATGCCCTAGGGATAACAGACGACCTCAGTCCAGAAGCTACTGCAATCTTCATAAATGGTAATTTGCATTCAGTGCTTAACTTTAAGGCCCTATGAATCCCCCAGGGTTCTGCAGGATTTAATTGATTGATTGATTGCTTCATTTTAATGTATATGAATCACATGTGTGAGTGATGGGTATTTGCTTAGCCAGCTCTCTTATTTGTGAGATAACTGTTGTCTTTTGGATTTTTGTATTTTATATTTTATTCTTATTTCTTATATCTTTTTTAACAGGAACTGCTCACTGTGCAAATATGTACCCAGAGAAAGAAGATGATCCACCACAGCTACTGCATGCCAGAGAGCAAGTTTTCAACCATATTCAAAAATGGTTGCAAGAATAAGTAAATCACATGATTTCATAAGCAGTTTTAAAAAATATCTTTGTGATTTTATACTGGATTCTGTATAGAAAGATTTGTTGTTGAACCTTATCAAGGAACTAGCAAGTGGTGCATCAATAGTACACTGGATTTAATAGTCATAACCATGTACGGTTTTTGTTTTTATGTGATATTCTCCCATTTGATTTCTCAGATGGAAAAAGATTCCTTTTGCAGTTACCCATTATATTCTCTTGTTAATAAAATAGCATTGTGGTTCTTTTACAGTGTTTAACATAACAGGATATTCTCTTTATATCTGTACACCAAACTTGTCAGAAAAGGGCATATTGTAATTAAAGTTAATGATTATGAATATATTTATGCTGTTTCTTGCAATGCATTATTTGTAAAGCAAATTGTATATAACTAAATCTTGACTTGCGACACGATCCTGTTTTCTTTGCACCTCAGTTATTTTTTTGTATCAGATTTTACTTTATCTTTTACAGTAGTGATAAGGAGTAATAAAGTAAATTAGAGAAGAATTCCTAAGATCACACTTACAAGGGAGTAATGCACTTAAAATTGGTCCCATTATACGGGAAAAGTTGTATACAAAAGTACTTATTAGTATTTAATGTTTTTTCATGAATGGTCTTGATCCATTCACTAAATAATCCAAAGATTTCTAGTGACAAGGAAATTTCATAGTCAAGGAAGTATTACTTTTTCTTTTTTCTTTTTTTCATTCTCCAGTTGCAGATGTACTGATTTACAGTACACAAAGAATATTTGATGTTCCCTAAAACAGTTTAACTTACTGTATTTTAATAATAGAATATCTTTAAGCAATTTTGGACTTTAGTACAGAAGAGCTGCACAATACCATTGACCTCAAGTACTAATAGACAATGGGAGTCTTCTTTTCTGTGTGAAGTCTTACAAGACAGAAATCACACTTGTAGTACTAGGACTTTGTTACATAGATGTCTAATGATTGTAAAGCCTGATGTGTATAAAACCAATTCCATTCACAATTTCATATGTTATACCCCCCTATCCCTTGCCCGTTGGTGTCGTGAGGGGGCTCAGGAGATGGAGACTGAGACCCAATGCAGGGATCTCCCCTGCCTAGGGCCTCAGCCCTTGACTCGACTAATTTTGCATGGTCTTTTCTCCCTCCAGCTCTTTTGTTTCCCTCCCTTCTGGCCTGAGGGAACCATGGGTACAGTATTCCCCTGTTTTGTTGTTTATCCCTTACCACACAAGGGGACCCTGAGGGGTGGAATGTTTATTACCCCAACATAGCCAAGGCTTCCCATGGCCAATAATGAAGATGTAATACCCTTATTAGGGGCAATGAGGTTTGCCCCTTCATCAAATAGCCCCACCAATTCAAACTCTCCCAGCTCCCCAACCCCAAGCTCTCCTTTGACCACGACTCTGAACACTACAACCACTACCCACTCCTCAATGCCTACTAGTGCATTATCCACTCAAGCGAGACTCCTACTCTCCCAGCTTCCTCAACTGCATCAACTCTACCCCCACAGCCTTCTTCACCAATCACCTCATTATCCCTTATTATTACCTTACAACCTTATTCTCCATCTCTCCGTAATACTACCCCTCTCAACAATACTCCCTCTTCCACACGTCCCGTCCTTCTACCACCACCATCTTACCAATACTCTTACTTGGCCCAGCCAAATGAGACCGTTTTTTCGTGACCCCCCTACAGCTCCTTCCTCAGGCAACACTCTTCTCTTTCAACAACGTCTCCAAGAGCAAGTGGGCAGAGTCCCCTTCCGTACCCGACCCGATCGTTCCTGTCTTGTAACAGATACATCTGAAAGTGAAGCTACAGCATTATCAAATCTAACTGATTTCTCTGACAATCCCATTCCTGCAGAACCTCATCCAACTCTTAACACTTGTGCGGGAACTGTCTCTATCTCCTATGGATATCGATTGGGCAGATTGTGGAGAGTACTTACTCGGTTGTCTCAAAGACCGTGATGTGATAACAGTACAGTGCTACTTCATTCCTCCTTGAGGTCATCGAAAGAACACCACCAACATTGCCAAAATTACTTTCAGTACACATGACTTTCCCTTTCGTATCTACATTGCTGGACTACATTGCTCCCTGTTCGACAATACCAACCTCCTCCCCGTCAATGTCAAAACTGTTGGCGCTTTGAACATTCTGCCAAACACTGTGCCCAACAAGGTCATAAGCGATCAAACTGCTCTACACAAACACGCACAAGTGCTTACTGCGGCGGCCTCCATAATGTATTTTATAGAGGCTGTCCCACTTACAAGTTCGAGTCTGAGATAGCAATTCTCAGATACAAAAATTGTCTCACTCTACGTGAAGACAGACAGGAAGCACGTCGACAAGGTTTCTCTCATACTCCTTACTCTAGTAATGTCGCTCGCTCTGCCCCTCCCCCTCCAACCCAGGATATTCCTACACCCTCCCCTATACCTACTTACTTCCCCACTTCCACTTCTACAGTCTACCTCCCCCAGTCAAATTCTTTTGCTATTCTAGACCCAGATGTAGTGGCCCCGTGAGAGCCAGGAACTAAGTTACCCCTCGCGCCGTTTTCGTTGCGACTACGGGCGCCACCTGGGGGTATTTTTCTTCAAATACGAATAAATAAATATTTAAGAAATGTAGAGGAAACATCTTACTTCGGAACTCTCCAGTTATACATAAAACTAAAAAACCTATAACAATAAAAATTGAGTATATAAAAAAATGATCATGGAGATGGGAAATTCCGCTTACGTCAGCTGATTGTGGCGAGAGGAACTGAGAGGACTGTATAGAGCTCCGGACGAGTTAAGTATTCGGGAAGATTTATGTATTTTCTGGTTAGCTCCTGTGACCGATAGTAATCCGGAAGGGCCACGAGATATTCCTGTAGCTTACTGTGAATAAAGGGAGATTTTATTTCTGTTTTATTCTATATGTATTTTTGTTTTCCTCCAGTTCCTCGGTTTTGAGTTTACCCCCTTCCTTCTTAAATGTTTTTGCTTTAATACTCTGATTTCTTGGCACGTTTATTTTCGATTGCTTACGCCTAACTTGAGTTTTTGTTTGTTTTCCTTTTGTTATTAAAAAGGGGGGGAGTCACAATCGGCTCAATTAGTGGTGAAGAATAGCCCCATGATAGGGCTAAACACCACACAGACACTCCAATCTCAACTACAGCCCCAGCACACACCCCCCTCGCCCTCCCCGCATTACCCGCAGCAGACAGACTAAACGTTCTAATCCTTTCTTCGCCTACCGCACCACTCCCCTCCACATACCTTTGCCTTCATTCCTCAGACACCAGTCTCCCCCCCCCCCCCCAAGAAAACCTTTATCTCACAACTCTCCAACCAATTCCACTGCAGAAACTGTGGAAGATATTCAAAGCTATATGCTTGAGACAGAAAATTTCCACAACTCATGCTCCTCCATGCTTGAAGTGACTAACGATATCCATCCCTCTTGCTCATATTCCCTCTACACCCCTCCCTCCTACTCCCTCTCAACACAACCTAACCCTCTTAATTCCGCCTACTACCGATATCCATCCTCCTGTTACAACCGATACCCATCCCCCTCCTACTCATATTCCCCCTACACCCCTTCCTCCTACTCCCTCCAACACCCCCCCCTCAACTCCAACTACACGTACATTCTCCCTCCTCTCATCCCCTCTATCCTTTCCACTCCCTCCTGGATACACACGTGAAACACTTATGTAATTCCCTTCCCTAGACCCACCATAGCCCATTCACACACCAACTTCTTCACCCATCTTTAACCTTTCAAGATAACGCTAGATAGTTGACGCATAGCAACTATCACCCTTCACCCGTCCTTTAATATACTTTCCTATAGTGCTATATGACCTTAGATATCTAGCACATTTATTTTGCTTTTTAACCATTAACCATTCCCCATGCCTATGCCCACATTTTATCTACAGTCAGGGTTACTCGTCAGCTCCTGTAGTAGAGTGAGTGTTGCTGTCTCTACATTTAACCACGCCACACGGTGAACACATACTGAAAGCTAAAGACAGGCACAAATAGATATGCACAAGAGGCAAACACACATTTTAACCAATGCACAAGAAAACATGTCATTAATTGCTTTATGAATTTGCTTGTCAGTGACGATTTTGGTATCGCTAGATTCCTCTCACTCTCTCGTTTCCAA